TAAATGCCACCATGGATTGCATGGTGTAGCTGAAAGTTGCCCGTAAATTCAAATGCACATTGCGGGAAAGCGGAATTGCAGCCATAACCCAAAATACTTTTATTCAGGTACCCATGATATATCAAAGTGAAATGTTTACTTAGTAGTTCAAAGGAAAACTACCACTTTAACTACAATAGAAAAAAGTTGGGCCACCAACCTGGATCTGTTGTTAGGGTTGTGTATATCTCAGGATTGGATGGTCAGGCAAAACAGCCCTCATATATTGATCTTAAATGTATACGTTAATAGTTTTGACTGGAGTTCAGCTTTAAGTTAACCTGCACTATTGCATAGATCATACCTATTAAAATGCTGGATTATGTTATGCAGCATGTACATGTTTGTTAACTGACATCTAAATTCTACAGTTCTGTAAACACTATTTTACCAATAATGCATTCAAAAAGTGTACATGCACACATGTGCACTGGTGTGGGTATCAAGAAACGTACTTGTGCAATTTCTAAACCAAAACCAACATCATAAATGTGTGCTCTTTTATTTCAGCTTGACTGCATAATGCGTACATTTTTGATAACTTGAATTCTGACCTCAGTATGGATCTAAACCTAAGCTTTCTAATGTCAACACATGATGTAAAAAATGTAGGGCATATTTGTATCCAAAGTAGAAATGTGGTCACATTACAAATTAAACTTTTAAACAAACGTTTGGGTACATCATCTGTTCAATGTATGCTAACAATAATGATTTGTATCTTGTTAAATTGTTAAAAGCAGGACAAATAGAAAGGCCAATCAGCCCAATGGGGACAAAGACAACAATAAAAACTAGGTAGGAGGTCTAACCCCTAACCTCTCTATCCAAAACTAAATAAAATAAATTTCCCTTTACATACACTTTAAAGTGTTCCTATATACTATGTAGATAATATTTTTTACGTTTTTTATCCTGTGTAATGGTAGACATTTGTATTTCCTTCTGTGGCTCTCGTAAGTAAATCCTGAAAAAGCATTAAAGCACAGCAATCGTAGGTCAACATGATAAACAAGGTGCCAGTTTTTTTGTTAGTTTTAAAAATATCAAACCTATTGGTGTTGGTAGTGTCAACTTATGGTTTTAGTAACCAGTGCACAAACTATGTAACTTGCACACTGGCTGACTCTCAGAAATGATGTGTTTATGCTGTGTACAAAATATATATAAACTATGTCTTGGTTAAATGGGTAAATCCACTTTTGTAGTAGTAAGCCCCATACCACAAATGCCTGCCCCCTACTTACTCCTCTCAACAAATTTACATAAAAGCAGACCTTAGTGCAGGTATTTACTGCTCAATGAAGGAAGCAGGTCATGTTTCTGAATGTAGATGCCCAAACATGAGCAGCGGCCACTGCTGTCCAGAAGGATTAAAATACTACCCAGCCCTGGGCAGACTGGAGCAATTTAAACCTACTGAAGAGTTCATCTGAAATCTGTATTTAATTAATCTCCTGGGGGGGCTTATAGGGGGTCCTACTACAAATGTGCACTTATGTTTTAAATACAGTGTCTACCTATCTCAACAGTACACAACCCGTAATATTATTTTACATATATGAAACAGTTTATAACAGATAACAAATAATTAGGATTGATCAATTTGTGGCTATTCCCCTTGGAGAAGTGCTCATTGTAATTTAAGGGCCTGTTCACATAATTTTCAGGTCCTGATCAGGTCTGGATCAGGTGTGGATCTGCAGGCGCAGTGCTACTCATGCAGTGCGTTTTTGGTCCGGATGATGACAGTTCTTTTTTTTTTTCAAGCCGTGGGGCTGTCAGTATGCAGATTCTTCCTCTGAGGTCACTTCCGCCGTCTCGTAACATCTACTTCCCTTTGTGTATGTAAAGCTGGTAATCAGACATGTATCACATGTTTGCAGGCATGTTGATGGTGCTGGCTACAGCAATCTGCAGAGAATGAGCTCGCAGGAGACGTCGTTATTGGGTACACCCGGTCTTGAGGCTCCGGGACTCCAAGGGTCAGTTCTGGAGTTTACATGAGGATTTGCGAGCTCACCCGGATACATTTTTTTCCTTTACTCGTATGTTCATGGAAAGTTAATGGGCATGTTTAAAATGTTTGCAGTTCATGTCTTAACCTCTAACCCAACCTGTCTATCTCCCACTCTGACTGCCTCTGACATCATAAAAAGTGGAGCAAGAATAAAAATTTTTTTGCTTAGCTGCATTGCATTCCGTTTCCGTAGCGTTTTTGCCGCGCTTGTGCGTTTCCTGACCGTTTCCTGACCGGACACAATGTGACATGCAGTATTTTTTCTGTCGTAACCTGAACGGACTGCGCACGTGAGAACTGTAGCCCATAAAACACATAGGGATACATTGGGATGCATATTTAGTGCAGGAGCGTACGGATCTGGTCAGCACAGAAAACGGACGTCGTGTGAACAGGCCCTAAAACTGTACCACAGTGACGCCCAGGAATTCTAAATAGGGACCACATAACATAGACACAATAAAATACTCTCAAATACCAACAAGCTGGACATGGTGTATATAGAACCTATTGTTGGTGCTTTTTTGTTCAGTATAATTGGATGCGGTTTAGGAATTGAATATTCTGTTCTAAGAGTATCTCCACAGAAGAATGATAGGTGTAGGGAGTGCACCAATATTCCTTTAACCCCTATGGTATTTGGCCATTAATTTGAATTACATGTTAACTTAAAAAAACAATGTTTGAATAAACAGAAACATCACAAATGCAATGAAAACCATGAAAATGATCGTATTCTCTTCTAATTATAAACCTGCCATGACTGCCAATATCTGTAGGTGAAGCAGCTTAATTTATGCGATGGCTTTGACCACTGCCTTACTCCTCACTTTATGCTAGGTCTGGGATGGTGAATATGATCTTCTTTAGCTCCATTGAATATGACGTGACTACCCTTAAACTGATATGTTGTTTGAAACTCAGAGACTACTGTTATCACTCTAATTAATGCTGATTTACAAACTGCTCAAATTCCCACTTAGATCAGTAGATCTCATTATGAAAACTGGAAAAAGGGCAGAATGGAAGTTTTGCTCTTAGATACCAAGCATTTAATTTCCTATGCTAGGTGCCTAGTACAACCTGAAATGTTGTTACAGACAATACATTCACCATCTGTACATCCAGTTTCCAGCATCTGGCTCAGGTTAGAATCATAACAACTTTTGGTATTGAAAACATTATGAAGTGAAATTGACCTATACACAACCATATATTATTCACAAATCACATGGCACAGACCATTTGTACTTACTGGACCAGGGAACACATTACGGAGTTATCATGCCTCTTTCAAACTTCTCATAGTCCAAAAATCAATTACCATGTGAAATAGTTTTCAGTTTAGTTAAGATCATGTTCCTGTCATGTAATTTTAACATATACCAACCTTTCATGCTTTCAACACTGTTGAAAGGTATATTATAAAAGAATGAAGAAATTAATCCATTTGGCACAATGGCATTCTACCACTCTTTCTAAAACACAAGTCCAGCTAGTCCACAGCTACTTCATTCATACTTTTTGTTCCACCATGGCATTGTAGAGGATAATTCACAAGGAGAGCATTGAATACTACTTCCACAGAGGCATGCTCACATCACTAGAGGGATATGCAAATAGTTCAGTTCTGCAAGGTGCTCCTTCCTGCAATATTGTAGAAAAAGTAGCACACCTTGCCTTTAACTGAGGCACGTGAGGTGCTAGGCATTTCATTAGTGCAACAGCTTAGCAATCGGAAACCTCTTTTTTACTTGAAAGATGAACCTTCCTTTAAAACCACTCTATCCTGCTAGGACGTTGTTGCTTTCTCTTGGAATAATTAGGCTCCATTATGATACAATACTTCATGTGTCATAGTGTGGCAAGGACACGTGAAAAGGAAATGATCACTGTTAGTACTGTTTGTCCAATTCCAAAGACCAACGCTTCCAATGGAGCCATGTTTTTTCCTGCTACTTGGTAAATCCCTGCAACGGCTGCACCTGGAACAAGATTAAAAACATATTGTTTAGGGCAAATAATAAACAAAATCTGAGATATTAATTAATTTTGTCTTACAAAGAGTCTTCCTCCTGTTCTCATGCTGATTTTGTTGTTCAACAGTTTGAATTAGAGCTGTAAGGCATTTTTAGAGGCTGTGCAAGCCCTGCCTTGGGTCACTCTTGGCTGGTTTGCCAAGCACAGTGCAGTTATCTGAAGTCAGCATGTCCCTAATCAGACAAAGCAAATATGCTCACAGAATGACAGCTACTTGAAGGGTGTATGGAGCTCATACGGGGAACTCAAGTTTCCTATTAAATGTCCATTTACATAGGCCCTCACTGCCATTTGACTATATTATTTGCACAGACAAAAGTGATAGAAAAGACATGCAGTGCATTCTGCTCCACATATGTGAGAGTCTGCTTAGAACACAGGATAGAAGGAAAGTAGTACAAGCCCTTCAGGACGGCTTTGTTCTCCCAGTATTCTTGTCTGGAGTGTCAATGCTTGATCAATTTTACAAATATGTAAATGCATAATGAACCTGGCAGTGGGAAGGTCTATTCAGCACTTGGAAACTGCAAAACCAGCACACAATGCTCTTCCAAAAAGAATAAAATTTTATTCCACATGCATTTGTGCAAAGAACAACCGCTGATGTGTTTTGGCCTTATTCATAGCTATAAAGCACTTGCATGTTATTGCTATGCAATATGAAGGCCCTAAACAAACTACAAGTTCAATGACTGCCTGCACCAACAACTGTGTGTTGAGCCAAAGATAGAAGGGACAAAGTACAGGATTGGGGATCGACTCGGCCAGCTAATAATATACAAGCTGAAGGCCTTTCTCTAAGTACTGACATGCAGCACTACAAAGTAGTATTGCAGCTACTACTTTTAATTAATTTCTCTCCAACAAATCGGGTCAGTTTTTTTAGTCATCAAAATATTTAAACATATGCAGTTGTATACTATATATTCATTACAATTTTTCTGCGAAGTTCTGCCGTGGTGTAAAATGTGCACAGGATTTGACGTTTGCTATGACTTAGTCACTGCAATTTAATTTTTTTTTAAATTGGAACTTAGCAAATATGGAGGAAAACCAATGTTGCTTAACTACATATATTTTTAGAAAAGCTCTGGGGGTTGAGAAATGTTAAAATGTTTTAGCTAGTTTATGACTCATTCGTTTCAAGATGGTAACAACATGTAAGCAGTGAGAAGTAAGAGAATGAAACCTTTCTTCCGGTGAATTTAAAGAGTATATTATACCAGGTAAACAGCAGAAAATGTGAAGGCCCTTTAATCCTTGTGATTTTTTTTATTCTGTATTTAAGGAAATTCCTTTGAAAACACCTAGAGTTTAGCATTGCAGGAAATGAAAGCTGAATCAGTACTGACCCATATTCAGCAAAAGCCACCTTTTCATTCCAGAAAATAAGTACAGATGCTTTCCATTTTCTCATTAATTTCATTTATTTTTAGAGTAGCTAGTTTTTGACTAGATCAAGAACTGTGATAACAGATAAGTAGGTCATCCAATGTTATTGTGTAGGTATGGGGGACCATTTAAGCTTTTAAATGGCAATAGATTTTTATTTGGGTATTTTCAGTTATACAACCATTTCAGTCATACAACCAGTGCCGCTAATATATTTCACAGCCGAAAAACCTTTTGCATTGTTACTTACCTGACATGTTTCCAATTCAATTTGGCATGCTAATTGCCTTAAATGAAAGATAATTTACCTTTTTTTTAATAGTAAATGCATTTGTCACACAAGCTGCTGTTCAGTGCTAGGTGGAGTGACAGGGATTAAGCAAGACATGCATGACATTCACCTAGGCCTGCAGGTACCGCAATGTGCTGACAGTCTAAAATACTGTCATGGGAGCTAGGCATGACTGTTCACTTACAGGGCTATCAAAGGTGCTGTCATCTAAGCAGCTATCAGCAAGGGTGACAAATTGCTAGTGATTTCACTGCAGAAGGAAGAGTGTAATCACCCCATCAAAGGACTTGCCTATCAAATCATTCAACTGTCAGCATCAACAGGTAGTTACCATATATTTGAAAAGGTACTTAGAAAAGCTAGGTCTTACTGCGATGGACAACCTACATCACACATGTGATTTTATATTTTGACCACAGTGCTACTTTGGTAGCCACTAAAGTGCTTTCACTGGTCATGGAAATGGCTAAATGGTAATAAATTGGAATAGGAGAGAGTCATAGTACAGGCCTTTCTAGCTAATAAAGGTAATATCAGGCTCTGTATGTCTGCTTTTAGAATGGAATTTTAGTTTTAGGTTTTAAAAAAGGCTGATAGGTTCATGTTAAAGCCCCACACTCTCTGATGGGTTACCATTGTCTCCAAGGTCTATCTCCACAGACTTTCAGATACATGAATAGTGTGCATATAAGGTACACTTATGTTACGGGCCTGTCTTCTGTCCTATCTTGTTAAAACTTAAATGAATTAAATGCATTTATATTTAGCTATAACCATGTATCTTTGAGGCTCAGAATGCATAGAGACAGTCATTTCTCAATGGCAGCTTTTCACAGCACAAAAAATGAATGATAACTGTACTGTTGATAATTTATATCAGGGGCATATATTGTATCACTTTTACCATGGGTGCAAATCAATCTTTTCCCTACAGTTTGTTCTGGTATTGTTTTGTTATAATGCCAAAGGAAAGCTGTAGGTGAAAACCCTGTAGACTCAGAGCCCACGGGTCTCTGTGGAGATTTGCAGCTGCTTTACTCCCACAAGCTTGTAAGAGAAGCTTAATATTGTAAAAAAGGTGGATGCACCAGCTTTTTAAAAAACAGTGGTAATACTGTAGCTGGCAAAAGGTAATAGGTGGCAATATACATGCATACCATTTACAACTCTACAAAAAAATGACTGCCTACGAGTAGAATATTTTGCGTATTGCATTAGTTCTATTTGTTACTTTTAAAGTATATCTAAAGTGATTTTTTTTTTTAGTTTGGATGGGATAGGGAAGGGTTAGAGCCATTGTGAGATTTGTATTTTTGTTTGGATCTCCAATGACGAGATTCACCGTTTTTATATGTCCTGGTGACCATTCAGGGACTGGAATAGAACGTAAGAGAAAATCCAGAATTTTAGGTTGTTCCCCAAAAAGAAAGACAGGCAAAATCTTCCAATGTGGACACTTATGCCACTAACTATCTCAGAGGGGAATTTTCCTTATTTTAAAGAGGTTTCCTTTTTCTTCCAGTTATAGCTGCAAAACAGGAAATAAAAGGTAATGCTCCACAATAGGACACAAAAGGCAAAAAAAATCTGAAAGAGGCTTTAACGATCCCAACATGAATTGTCCAAATTAGTGTTAGAGCGGTATAAATATTAGAACTGTCACTTGCAACACATAAAAGTATCCAGGAATGCTCTGAAATCTAAATAGCAAAACAAACAAAATATAGGCGCTCAAGGTAGCACAATACTGAGTGTACAGGTACAGTTCAGAATATGATGACAGTCAGAATAAATTCAGCTGGACAGATAACCCCTTGCTGTAGCCCCCAAAATAAAATCAAAACTATGTGTTTATGGCTATGTCCTTTTATTAGATTTATATGAAGGATAATGGCCCTGAAACACATCAGTGGGGGTGTAGTTTTGCACAGGGGCAGACTAGTAAGAGGAGGTAACTGGATTATGCTCCTATTCACGTTGGCATACTTCTCAGTTATATGCCCAGCAGCATTTATTCTGACTGTCCTGTGCACTGTGTTTTTCCTGCATACATACAGAGCAACAGGATTAACATTGTTCTCATGCTCTGCAGAACTTCTGTTTTGCAGCAGACTGCCTTGTCTCAGGAATGGATACACGGTGTCTGTGTATAAGTTTGTATAGGCTTGTAACCTGAGCCAGCACTACAGGAAGAGGCCCTGAGCTTGAAAAGGGAAGTTCTCCCCAAGCATGAGAAGACATGAGGATTTAAAAGAAAGAGCAGCAAAGAGAAGAGAAATAACAATGGATTACAGTAAGGCACACATTACAGTATTGGTTTATGTTAAAAAAATCTGAGGGTTTAATGTCACTTTAAGTGAGTATGATTTTTATTTAATTTTTTAATTGTCAAAAGAATGGCAATTAAATATCACTTACTAGTTATCATCGCTCCGGTGACAGAAGCCAGGAACCCAATGCTGACCAGGACCACAGATATTAGTCTCCCTTGCTTGTGCCTCTGTAGCATTACAAACATAAGAACTCCTGCTGCTCCATGGACAAAGAGGGAGGAGAAAAGGGCCCATAGGAAAACCCAATACCACATCTCTGAAAGACAAATGTTATCAAAGAGGAATTAAATAGCAACTTGACTCAAAGAAGAAAAAAAACAACTATTTCCAAGCAGTCAGCTTGGGTGTAGGTTTCTGCTTGCAGCCCATATTTAAAGTACACCCATACTGACAAGAACCTAATCATTACCATTGCAGACCTTTCTAAGGAAAATGCAAGTTAATGGTCTGTCTATTGGTTTAGTAGTTTAAGCCACTGATCCAGAATAAGCATGCAGCAGGTTCCTGTTCCTGGACATTGATGTAAAATGCATTAAAGCCTCCCAATTAGCATTTTCAGAAAGTGAGGGCAGAAATGGCAGCCTCTGTGTTTCTCCCAAGGCAGTTTTAAAGATAGCTGGATGCAGAATGCATTAATAGTTTCCAGACATGAAAATGGTTTTCTGAGCCTTCTGAAGAAAGGTCGTATTCTACATGAACTAAATAAGTAACACATCTCCTGTTCCTAAAACATAAAACTTTAACCAAACTCCAGGAAAAAAATGATAATTAACATACCGCACTGGGAGTGTAAATTATCATTAACAAGCTGGGTATTATGTGTGGAGGACTCTGCAAAGTATAAAAAAAACTTACCTTGCAGCATGCTGGCTCCTACACATAATGCTTGTCTTCTGGGGGAAGTGACTCAAGCAGTGAAGTGCTCCAATCGCATCCCCAGCCATCCTGACTACTACCCATTCACAAAATGTATTTTTTAAAAGACTACAAGGCATTCTGTAATTGGAGGAGGAGAGGAGGGGGCAGGGATGTGAATTCATCTCTCCACCTCCAATCACAGAATGCCTTATATTCTTTGAAAAAATACAAGGCATTGTGTGAATGAGCAAGTAGTGAGGAGGGTCAGGGATGCGACCATAGCACTTCATTGTTCAAGTTGTATGCCTAACTCCCTGTGGTGTTACGGGTAGGAGCCGGCATGCTGCAAGGTAAGATTTTCGCATTTTGCTGCATCCCTCCATACACAACATACATATTTTTAACCATAATTTTACACTCGGTGGCATTACAAGGAAAAAATATAATTTTTTCCAGAGTTTGCTTTAGGGCTTAATTCATAAAGCTTTAACACCAGCATAAGGATACATATTTTCCAAAAATTGCAGTTATTTTTCAGCTGAGACCAATGAGTTTTGAAAATGACAGTCACATTGCTGAAATAAAGATCCTTATGCTGGACATTAAAGCTATGTGTATTGAGCCTAATATCTGATTTACATTTCATACACTGCTAACTGTTGGGTATGGGACATAAAGAGAGATATAGTTTTCAATATGTGATATGTGACCGTTCTCTCCTTCTTTGTGATTTCTGTAGTGAAGGTGCTCCCACTAGCTATTTGGATTGACATTTCAGCTGATGTACAGACAATGTACAAAAGTTAATAGAGCTTACAGCTAACTGCATCGCACACTGTTTAAAAATAAGTTTATATATTTATATATACCTGATAACTCTAAACTGCTTCACCTTTAAAATATAGTCTACCATTAATTATTACCAGTCATCACTTTTCACAGGCTGTTCACAATCAGATATTTATAATATTTCCGCAAATTACTCATCTCTATGAGGTATATTGTATGAAACTTGGTGAAAAAGGAATCCTATTATAAGGATGTGAATGGAAATAGAGTTATAGATAGCTAACTCAGCTAGTTCATTTGAGAGCAAAGCCATCAGTGACGTTGAAAGAAAACATGCTACGTACTTGTTACTTAGGACTACATTTCTAGGACACAAAATTTAAAGAGGAACTTTACCCTTATCTTTAAAATAACCACAACGATACCTTTAGGAATGTTTAATAATGACAATCTATAAACAGAAACTTCTAGATAATTACAGGCTTTGTATTCTTTGCATACTTTATTTTTCTTTTCTTCCCCAGTCTTCTGACAGTGGCCATTTTAACTAAACGCAGATTACTAGATCTCCCATTACTTCTTGGAACTCTGACACATGTGACTAGGACATGTGACCATGCACATCATCTCAGGGAAGGAAAATGCCTGTCCCTGAGATCTCCTGAGATTACAGATGAGATTTCCCGGCAATGCTCTGCTGATTAAAATATCCCGGGATGCAATGCTTGGACACGATTACATAATTTGTGCCAAAGTGGACCAGGAAGTGGAAAAAAATTGTAAGTAAAATAAAAATATGTTTGTTTAGCTAATGAATGTAAGATGATCTCATATCAGCATGCAGAGCTGTATGCTGATGTGATTTTTAGTCAAAGGGGGTAAAGGTCTGCTTTAACTTCCAAATGTGATTTGATCATTTCCTGAATTGTACTTTTTATCTCATTTCCTTTCTCACTGACATGTTATACCGATTAAAAGGATAGGTATAGAAACAGCAGATTAGCAATTCTGTTTTGTGTTCTAGGTACCACTGTCTTTTCTCATTTGCATACTATACCTATTACAAGAATAGGAATAGAAACAGCAGATTGCTAATTCTGTTCAGGCAGTGTTGTCATTCAGGTACCCCTGCAAGAGAGCACATCCAAGCCCTAGGCCACCTTGTAGACTGTAGTGCAGCTGTGCAATACACTCTTTTTTTTAAAGAAACCAGTCCATTCTGTAACTGGGTAGATAAGGAGCAGCAACATACTGATGTGGTAATTCCTATGCTCTCCTCTCCTGTGAACATGTACAAAGCATTGACTGACACCAACATACAATGTATTAGAGCCTAACTACCTAACTGAGTCCTATTTTGCAGGTTTGATGGCAGGCTGATATCAGACTCAGGTTACATATGTAATTGTTATACATAAGTGTTTTTAATTATTTTACTGTGTTTTTGTAAATGTGTGTGTTTGTAGAGTAATGTATAGGTATATCCCCAGTTACAAAGTTAAAGCAAATGCTTACACACATTAACCAATAGGGCTGTGCTACCACAGCAGTCTGTTCTTTTTTATTTATGTATTTCCATTGTGGTATGCTTCTGTTTCCCCTTCCTGTTTGTCATTAGTTAGTTCAGCCCTTAGTTGTCTATCCCAGCCTCTATATCCCTAGTTTAGGTTTCTTAAGTTTAGGAGTTTTACTTAGTGAAAAGGTCTCTCTCAGTAGCACAAGGCTTATGATACCTAAAAGTCTTTTCACGTGCAGAAATAACCCAGGAAAACATCCCTTGTTAATGCCCAGCAGATATAAACTGCATTGTATTCTACTTCTGGGTCTTCTTGGTTAGTTAACACTGCACGTGGATCTTGTCAAGTCAGCAAGTTGGCATACAGTCTATCTAGACAGGAACTCAGTCTCTTTTGCATAATGCAACATTTGAGTCAAAACAAGGGTGCCTAAAAACATTACCAAAATGTATCTTTTTCATTAGGACATTACGTCTTTCTTGGCCACAATAATAAAACATAATACTTTGTTGTGTAACCCAGTGCCTAGGCATATATCACATGTTCTCTGGTTGCCAGGAGGAGCCATTGAGTCAGTTGTTTTTAAGTCAGACAGACCCTGTTTGGGAAACTTTCAGCGGATCAGTAAGTATAGCAATAGTATTGATAATGCAACAAAAAGGCAATAATCACTAAGACACAAGTGGGCATTTTAATATGACCCTAAGATACAGCATTGCAGGCATATGCCATAGTACATTATACCAGGTAATATGTCCAACGTACAGTGAAGAAATATTGTTTTATTTTCTGTTTGTATTGTTAAAATTCTAATGTTAACACCAATGCCACTTCACTAGTTATATCTGGAATTAGTTTATAGTGCCAGTTTAAGTACTTGGGTTCTCTTAGCAGGTATATGAATAAAATAAATGTAGGTGCATACACATTGTGAGCACTCATTCGCATCTAGGCACTTGCAAAGCACTTTCATCTATTTAAAATATAAGCATGTCAAGTGCAGCAAATACACAACAAATGAATTGTAATTGCATACTTGATCTATGCTATTACAGTGCAAAGAACATGACATTCATGCACTTTTAGAGTGTGTAGGTTCAACAAATGCTGGCAGCTATTACTTTGTTTTTTTGTAGTACCCTTTCCTTTTATTTATGCAGATACTTCTGTCTTGATAAGGGTAAAAAAGTAATAAAATGTGTTTTTCTTCATAATCAGATACATATGATATTACCTGGCCAACACATCTATGTCATGGGTAGTGGTGGGCGAATCTGCCCAGGTTCGATTTGCAAGGGGCTTGTTAAATCCTGATTGAAATTTGCAAAACACAAGCTTCAAAAGTCCAAGGAGGGGGGAACCGTTTAGTTTGTGTATCCTTGCCATTTTTCTGACTAATAGGCAAACTACTGTCAAAAAAAGGCATTAGAAACTAGGCACTGCCATGGTGAGCATGTGTTAATGCCAAAAAATGTGACTTTGAAGGTGACATGAAAATACGCAACTCTTAAATAACAGGTTTAAAGGAAGGCTTAGAGCTGTACATTGTATTTCAGAATCAGCATGATTTTAAAGGACATTCTCGGTCACGGTATACTCTGGCAGTGTATTTACAGACAACAGCAGCACCCCAATTGTATTTAATTTGGTCAGAATAAAGATGGATTTACTGATGCACCCTAGTCCTCCTCTTCCTCCTCCTCTACTGGCTATACCTGGATCCTGGGAATTGTTTGAGCACTCTATTTCTGACTTGCTGCAGGAGTAGCCACAAGCAGAGGTTGCAGGGAAGATTATAGCTATGCACAGCTCTCCCTTGGTTCTCTATCTTTTCTTGACCTTTCTTTAATTTTTCTTTACTATTGCCAGCAATGTAATTGCTAGTTGGGGCACTGCAACCTGAATCCACTTGAATAAATAAACCAAGCCCCTTACCACCACAACATTGGAATCATTGTAACTATTATATCACAAATTGACCCAGTTTTATAAATATCCAGAATGATATATTGGTAAATTTTGAAAACATGACTTTTATTTATTTAACATATTATAACAATGTTGTTCCTACAACAAGGTAAATTATGTATTT